GAATTCCGTCTGCAGACATATGTAACCCTCGCTCCGTCATCGCCCCCCTTTATAAAGAGTCCTAAACTATTTGCGCCCCGCGTTTGCGCAGGGGTTGGGTACGTCGCCAGGGTAATTTTTCGTTCCCGGGCGTTGGCACGGGACGAGTAGAATGATACACTTGCGTTGCAATCGGTTGCAATCCATTGGGTTGCAAACGATTCGATTGCAATCCATTGGATTGCAATCGATTGGATTGCAATCGGTTGAATTGCAATCGATTCAATCGATTGGATTGCAGGGAAGCAGGGACAGGACGGAAGGGAGGGAGGGGAGGAGACGGAGGGGAGGGAGAAGATGGAACGAAGGGTGTGGAGGGAGGGGAGGGAGCGGAGGGAGGTGGGGAGGGGGATTGCAGTGGAATGGAGTGCAATCGATTGCAAGCGATTCGATTGAGATTTTCGATCGTCGATCGTTGATCGTCGATCGTCCATCCTCGATCGTGGATTGTTCATTTTGGATCGTCGGCGAAAGGGAGGGCGGAGGCTCCGGGGGCTGGGCGGCCAAAGGGGGCAAGGGGGGGGGGCAAGCTTCCAAGCCCCCCCCCCCTTTGGCACAAAGGGGGGGAGGGGGGTGGGAGCTTCCAGCAGGGCGGCTCCAAGGGAGGGGGGCGGTAGCTTAAGCACCCCCCCCCTTTGGAAAGGGTAGGGGGGGGTAGCTTCCGGGGCGGCCAAAGGGGGGGGGGGTGGGTAGCTTCCAAGCCCCCCCCCCCTTTGCACGAAAGGGGGGGAGGGGGGGAGGTAGCTTCCAGCAGGGCGCGCCAAGGGAGGGGGGGGGTACTTAAGCACCCCCCACCCTTTGCTGGCACCCGGGGAGGGCCCAAAGGGGGGAGGGGGGGGGGGGAGGGGGGGGGAGGGGGGGGGTAGCTGTAAGCCCCCCCCCCTTGCAAAAAAAAGGGGGGGAGGGGGGGGGTGCTTCCAACAAGGGCGGCTCAAGGGAGGGGGGGGGTAGCTTAAGCCTAGCCCCCCCTCCCCTTTGCTCGGGCCCTGCGGGCGCGCTCTCTCACAGAAAGGACTCTTATTGAAATCCCCGACAGAGGGATTTGAAATCCTCCACAGAAGGGCTTCTTATTGGAATCCTCCACAGCAGGATTTCTATTGAAATCCTCCACACGACATGAAAACCTTTACAACAATATTCTGGTTGAAATCCTGGACAGAAAGGGCTCCTATTGAAATCCTCTGCAGAAGGGTTCCGATCGAAACCCTCCACAGCAGGATTCCGATTGATAGCCTGTACAGAAGGGTTCATTTTGAAATCCTCTACAGAAGGTGTCCGGCTGAAACCCTCCACAGCAAGATCCCTATTGATAGCCTCTACAAAAAGATTCGGCATGAACTCGTTTAGATAAGGATTCCGAGTGAACTTTCCCATGTAACGGTTCCGAGTGATCTCCTCCACCTATGGATTCCTACTGATAGCCTCAGCAGCAATAGGTGTAGTCGTGGTAGTCGTTGCAGCTGTGATAGATCGTGGCCGTAGTAGTCGCAGTAGCACACGTAATCGTAGTAGTATTATTAGTAGTAGTAGTAGTAGTAGTAGTAGTAGTCGTCGTCGTCGTCGTCGTCGTCGTCGTCGTCGTCGTCGTCGTCGTCGTCGTCGTAGTAGTAGTAGTGGTAGTAGTAGTAGTAGTAGTAATAGTAGTAGTAGTAGTAGTAGTAGTAGTAGTAGATGTAGTGGTAGTAGTAGTAGTAGTAGTAGTAGTAGTAGTAGTAGTAGTAGTAGTAGTAGTAGTAGTAGTAGTAGTAGTAGTAATAGTAGTAGTAGTAGTAGTAGTAGTACAGGTCGTAGTAGTAATCGTATAATAATAAGAATAATAATAAGAGTAAGAATAACAATAACAATACCAATAACACTAATACTACTAATGATAATAATAATGATAATAATAATAGTAGTAATAGTAATACTAATGATGATAATAATAATAACAACAATGATAATAACAAAGGGAGTAGCAATAGTGGTATTAGTAGTTGCCCTCGTCGTTCAGAAAACCTGGCCAGGCGTTAGTTTTTATGTTTTTTTTTTTCTGGTCTGGGAGCTCAGAACACGTGGCCAGGCGTTGGGTTTTCTGGTTGTTCTGGTCTGGGAGCTCAGAGAGCCTGGCCAGGCGTTGGTATTTCTGGTTTTCCTGGTCTGGAAGCTCAGAAAACTTGGCCAGACGTTGTTTTTTATTTTTGTTTCTGGTCTGGGAGCTCACGGAAGCTGGCCTGGGGGCTGGGGGCCTGCGAACTACTGCCGCCAGGCCAGAAAACCAAAAAGACCAACGCCTGGCCAGGATTTCTGAGCCCCCAGACCAGAACAACCAGAAGAACCAACGCATGGTCGGGTTTCTTAGCTCCCAGACCAGAAACAAAGTAGAAAAACTAACGCCTGGCAAGGTTCTGCGGAATCGGTTTCTGATTGAAGGAAAAAGGAGAAGGAGGAGGAGGAAGACGGAGCAGGAGGGAGGATGGGAGAAGGATGAAATGAGAGGAAGAAGAGTGGAGAAGAGGAGTGCAGCAACAAGAGCGGTTCCTTTCCAAGCTCTTTGAGGGCCGAAAGCGCCCCACCCTCATCCCGTCTGGAGCTGAGGCTCTAAGGGCCCTTTTGGGGTTTTCCTGGGGCAGCCTCGTGGGAGCGGCCTCGAAATTCTGATCAAAACGCGCCGCAAGACGGGTTCAGGGCAGCCGTCGTCGTCGTCGTCGAGGAGGAAGAAGATCGAGCAGGGGGTTCGAACAAACTCCTCGACGCCTGCAGCTTCCAGAGGCCCGCCTCGTGCCCCAGAACCGTCAGGACTCGATCCGAGGTGAATTGGAGGGGTCTGGGCGCCAGCTTTTGAGCGGGCCGTGGATGGGTGAGGAGGACGCGGAAGCACGGGGGGGGGGGGGTAAAGGCAGTCCGCAGACTGGCCGCGAGCCAGGGCAAGCCCTCAGTGCACGGCGGCCATCGTAGCACGAAGACTGTGACAATGTAGTCGTGAGCGGCCGCGGGAAAGTCGGATGCCGCGCTCGGCGACCCGGAGTCGTCGCTCGGCCACCCGGACTGGCCATCAGGGAAGCCAAGCCAGGGTGAAAAGGAGGAGGAGGAGGAGGAGGAAGAGGCGGAGCAACTTCCAGAGGCTGCGCATCGGTCAGAGCTTCGGGGCGCAGCGTGGAGGGGGGATGAGATCACCCCGCGGGGCCGGGGGGGAGAGACTGGTCGATCGCGTCCCACAAGCGTGTAGCAGCAACTCAACCTGCAAACTCTCCTACGCAGTTTCGACTCCAAGGCGGCGGAGGAAGAGGATGAGGTGGAGGACGAGGAAGAGAGAGAGAGAGAGAGAATGGGCAGCGAGGTTGTCCAAGAAAGGCTGTCGCGCGCATCGGCTGCTTGAAACCCAAACCAAGAGACATAAACAAACGGCCACAAGAGGGAAACCCTGCGCCTGCACTGCTTTTGTTGGCGGGGATGGGCACACAGAGGTCTTGGCTGCGAGTTGCACTGCATCAGGCTTTCATCTCGTATCGTTTCCTGGTCGCCTTGATGGCCTCAAGCCGTGTCCGCCACTGTGCCCGCTTAGTATGTGACCTGGGCCCGCAGTCTACACTCGAGGGGGAACAGGAGGGAGGAAGGAAGGACGAGAGGAAGGAAGGAAGAATGAGCCGAATTCCTGAAATACCCCAGGCTGGATGTCCGGGACCGCTGCCGCTTTCTGTGTCGAAGAAAACCGCGTGCCGCCGTATTCTGAATCGGGGGCCTGGCAGGGGGATGCAGGGGGGCAGTCGCCATGCACACTTCACACTTTGCCTGGCCGTCGCGCGGCTTTCGAGGATGACGGGGCGGCGAAGAGGGAAACGCCGAGTGGATGGCGGCGGCTCCCTGTGTCCGCTCCTCTCCTCCTCCCGCTGTTAAGGCATGGCCTCTTCCTTGCAGCCTCTCCGCGCGGGCATGGTGCAACGTCCCCGCCCGTCCGAGGTTGGAGGATCGAGGCTCGACCTTTCTCTATGACCTTCTGGCCCCTTCTGACCCGACGTAGGTCTCTAGGGAGTTCTAGTCGACCTCCAGAGAAGCCCGGAGGCCTCCAGGGACGCCCTGAGATCCCATCCAAGGGGGAAGGTCGATTTTGCATGCCCCCCGTAACTCTGGATCCGCCGTGCTTTGGGCGCTTTCGCAAGCAGGACGGCAATTCCCGCCCTGATTGTGATGCTCCTTGGAGGTTGGTTTCCGCCTGTTCTGCCGTCGCTGATGTCGCCATGATGTACCCTTGCGGAAATACCCGCCCTACTGTTGAGGCGGAAATACCCGCCCTGCTTGTTCGCATCGTTCAGGTTGCATGTCTGACACATTGTCAGATCGGAGGATCAACCACATGTGAGGCGGGTGCGAAATCAGGGCTCCTCGGGGGCATTTTGTTTGTCCTGGATCCAATGTTGATCGCCCCTGGGGCCCGATAGCGGTCCTCAGAGGCCGAATCTAAGAAAAACACGGATGACAACAAAAAACATCAGATCACCTGAGATCCGGAAAACGCGAGCCAGTTCCAGAGAGGGAGAGCAGGGCGACAACCGACTGCCGCAGACCTCCGACGTCGTGTTTTTCGTGATTTCTTCGCCGGGTGGACCCCAAGGGTCTGGACCCCTTCCTGGGACCAGGTTTTCATCCTGAATCATTTTTTAAATGCTGGGGCCCCGCGAGAGCCCTTAAGGGCCGAGGATCAGAACTCCAGCCACCAGCGGCCATTCGGGACGATCCAAGCAGCACTGGAACAACCTCGACGAGGCGCAGCTGATGGAAACCATCCTTGGCCACGACAACGATCCAGGCAGCACTGAAACAGCCTCGACGAGGCGCAGCTGATGGGGACCATCCCGGGCCACGACAACGATAGAAAACCGACGGTGACCGTCCGAACAATTTTCGAACGCTATCCGAAACTTGGCAGAAACTACAGAAAGCGAGGGGGTCTGGGAAGGGAGGGCAGGGCGTCAGGCGACGGCCTTTCTTGCTCTCCATCGCCGTCTCCGCGCGGTGGCCGTCCGCGGAGAAGTCCCCCCGCGGCGGCTTCTGCATCATGCTCATCATCGCCTGCGCGGCTGCAGCTTGCGGGTCGGGGGGGGGGGCAGAGGGGGAGGGGAAGGGAGAGGACCAACGTTTCTTGAACATGTTCGGGGCCCGGGAAGGTGCCCATCGGCTGAGCCTCGTCGAGGGCCCCCGGGGGTGCGCGGACCGTCCCGACCAGCCGCCCGAGGCCTGAGCCAGGGCCCGAACGCCACATCCTCGCGCCGCATCGGGAGGGAGGAGGGAGGGAGGGAGGAGGGAGGAGGGAGGGAGGGAGGCGGGAGGAGGGAGGGCGGAAGGGAGGAGGGAGGAGGGAGGAGGGAGGGTGGAGGCAGGAGGGGGCGGGGATGAGGGAGAGGGGAGGGAGGCGGGAGGGAGGGAGGAAGGAGGGAGAGAGGGAGGCGGGAGGAGGGAGGAGGGAGGAGGGAGGAGGGAGGGTGGAGGCAGGAGGGCGGGGATGAGGGAGGGAGAGGTAGGACAGAGGGAGGAGGAGAGAGGGGGGAGGGGGAAGAGGGGGAGGGAGGGAGGAGGGAGAAAGCCACCTCCTCGCGTCGAATCGGGAGGGAGGAGGGAGGAGGGAGAGGAGAGAAGGGAGAAGCGAGGGCAGGCCAGGCGCGCTCGCGCCACATCCCACACCCTGCCCCTCCCGCCCGTCCCCTTCAACGGCGATGGGCGAGCTCTTGTCCGCCGACTGCGGCCTCCCAGAATCCTAGAAGACCTTTCTTCTGACCTCCGTGGTTCGTCCCGGGCCTCTCTTGCCTGGCCTTCCCCCTGGGCTGCGGAAGCCTCTACTCTAATTTCGCCAGTGGTTCGTTCGTTCGTGGCTCGTCCCTGACCTCCATGGCCTCCTCCCCCTCGGTCGCGGCTCCCTCGTGCAAGAGCCGAGGCACGCGTGCCACCTGTTCCCTCATTACAGTTGCAGGGTTCGACGCATCGCTTGCTGCGCTATCAACAAGGGGGGGGCTTCAACACATAGGACGAGAGGGAATTGCACGAGCAAGGTGCGGATGAGCAGCACGCGGAGGATAATGAGGAGGATCAGGAAGAAGGAGGAGGAGGAGGAGGAGGAGGATGCGAAGAGGGGCAGGAGGAGCAGGAAGGTCAGACATGGCGGAAGCGGGGACCAGAGGGAGGCGGCAGCGACGAGAACAACGAGGCGGATTTCAGAAGTGTGGCCCGCGCTTGGGCGAGAGCGCCATCCTGGACGCCAGGAGCAAAGCACCGATGCTGAAAGGTGGCGATCGCTGCAACGGGAGCACCAGCTTTGAATGACCAAGAACGTTCCGATCGAGAGAACACATGCCAGTCATCATATAATTGAATCATGCCTGCGCGTGGCGTGTGTAGTGTGAGTAGTGTGTATGGGAGAAAGAGAGAGAGAGAGAGAGAGAGAGAGAGAGAGTGTGTGCGTATGTGTAATATCACTACGCGAGACAGGCGGAAGCACCACTACACATTGCCAGAGGAGTAGTAGTCAGATTGGAGGTAGGTAGGGATGGTTGAAAGAGGGAAGAGGCACAGCGCCGATAAATGATCAATCAGAGAGTGCCGACCCCAGGACCAGATCGGGGACCGACTTTGCCGATCGGCCGATGGCTCGGGCGGTCTCTGGGAAAGTACTGCGAGGCCCGACTTGTTGGCTTCGGCTTGAAGTAAGCGGTGTTAGGAAGAAAGAGAAGGAACAGCAGCAGCAGCCGTAGGAGGAGAATGAGGAGGATCTGAGGAATGACTATTACAACGGAGAACAACATGCTTGCCGTCGCGTGCCCCAAACAATGCATTATTGATTATTGCGCTCTGGGTACGTAAGCTGCGCGGTGCAATAAATGTGGCGCACGCCATGTGGTCACAAGCTACGTGGTGCAAGCAAATCGGTGCAGTCTGTGCAGTGCAGACTGCTGGGTGCGATCTATGCCTGTCATTGCACGACAGAAAGGAATCCTGCCAGCGCGCAGGGCGGCCACGAGGCGGCAATGACCCGCGACCGCGCGAACACCCGGGGGAACCCAGCCAACGCACAAGACGGCCACGCGCGGGCCACGGGCGGCGACTGGAGAAGAACCTGGGGAGCCCATCCGCCTACGCAGCAGAGCAGGCAAGAAGCCTCAGCGCAAGCACTGCCTGGGAAAAGAAGGCCAGCATTTATGTACAGCTAGGAACCAGAAGGGGGAGGAAGAGGAGGGAGGCGAGGATTGCTCTGAGGAGTCCGCGCCCGCCGCTCCCACCTCCTCCTCCTCCTCCTCCTCCTCGTTCTCCTCCTCCTCCTCCTCCTCCTCATCATCATCATGCCCCCTCCTTCTCCAGGGTTGCGTCCTGGCCAGAGTTGTGAGGCGGATCCAGCTGGGACGACGAGCAGCCTCTGAGAAGCCACCAACAAGCGAAACGCACCCGCAAGAATCGAAGCTGGAAGTTCGAAGCCGTCCTCCTGGTGGTTTTCGGGCCCACATACGGCCCCACGGAGCTTAGCGTGTGCCAGGGAATCTGACGTGGGTTTTTGCGTGGTATGCGCTACGGCCCCCGAAGGGCCGTAGGACCGTAGGTGGGGTGGTGTCGCTTGCTTTTTGGTCGATTTGGGCCACTGGCGGCCGTCCGGAGCGATCTGGGCATCCCTGGACACCTCCTGGCGAGGCGCAGCTGCCGGAGAGCATCCCGA